TGCCTGATTGAAGTCCAGGCCACCGCACGGCCATCGAGGGCGATACCAGGCCAAGCCACCACCCGGTTATCGACACCGAGCCCAGAAGACGTTCCGGTATCTGGTCAGGTTAGAACTTCGTGGTAGCCCAGTGGTTGGTTCAAGGTTCACTTAGAAACTAAGCAACCTAAGAAGGGTGCCCATACTATACTAATGGTGAGTGGGCTACCAAGACTTGGGGTTTGGGGCTTATGGAAAACCCGAACCCGTTAGATCCTAGAGAGACGCCTAGCTGCCAGGGATGAGGGTCTTTAGATTTCTGGGCTTTGTGGGGTTTGGGGTTTAGGGTCTAGGGTTTATGGTTAGTTAGACTCTTTTTGTTGGGCTTTTGTTGGTTGTCGATCTTCTTGGGGGTTCCCCAGGAGCACAATATAGGACCCTAAAGAATTGTCAATATGGGCCCCTGACACATTCCCGATAAGGTTCATTTTTGCTACAAACTACTCCGAAAACACCCATTCTAAACCCTAAACCCGAAACCCTAAGCCCTGAACCTAAACCCTACGCCCCAATCATGCTCCCAACATGTCCCACAATGCCCATGCTGGTCAAGATTGGCCCCTTGTACTTGGAGTGGCAAGTTCGGTCGGTTTTGTATTCCGAGCGTAGAGTGGCGGGAAAACGCAGCAGCTCCAAGTTGAAACTGTAATGGTGCATACTTTATCTTGAACCAAGTATCTACTATTTGCTTAAGACCCCCCCCTGAAAAAATTAATGATAAAATATTCGTCCTTACAAAGGCAACAGAGGGATTATTATCCTTCTTGTTCTGGGGTTCTTGAGCAAATAGGGTGTAGGGTTTAGGGTCTAGGGTTTAGGGTTTAGGGTTTAGGGTTTAGGGTTTAGGGGTAGATATTGTGGAACATGTTGCCACGGCTGCGCGTACGACTGCAGCTTTCACTGAGAGACGCGCTGCTGATTCTGTTTTTCGGGGACTGGTATATCAAACCCAAAACCCTAAACCGTATATTGTTGTGAAATGTGTTGGGTTCATGTCGGATCTCTGCTGTCTGTTTCCTTTCGCTTGCTGTAAGGTCAGCCGTCGAAACTCTAGCGGCTCTAGCACAGTGTCACCGAGATCATCGCAAAACACGAACAAGGTTGAGAAGAAACGATCTTTGGCTGTGGCGTCCTTGGAGTTTGTGGACTTCGACGTGACGGATCCAAGAGTCCACACCCCATATGAGGCCTGATGTCTCACGTGTATCCAAACAAGCGCTACATGAGACACGTAAACGCAGGACATCTTCCCAGAGGCTCCAATACCCCTGAATCAAGAATATTCCTTAAACCGTATAAGGAACCCTCTTTAAGGAATACTCCTTAAATCGTATAAGGAACCCTCTTTAAGAACTATTCCTTAAATTGAGGGGTATTGGAGTCCCTGCCTGGGTTCTGCCAGCATGCCAGGATACTTGGCCAGAGTAGCACCGCTGTGCGGAACTGCGGCACACCAGATGGATGTGTGTTGGGTTTTCATGTGCACAACATGCATGTGCATGCAGATGGTGTGTGTGTGTGTGATGTGTGTATGTATGCAGGCCCGCATGTAAAAAATGTATGTTTGCACGGATGCATGTATGTTTGCTTCTTTGTATCTGGCATGCAATAGTTTTACATGCAAAAGGCACACGTACGTGCCTGGAGAGACAGAGAGAGAGAGAGAGAGACCGAGATGAGACGGAGACGGAGACACGGACGGAGAAAGAGAGAGAGAGCGATCGAGAGACAGAGAGACAAATCGAGAGACACCCACACACAGACACGCAGAGATACTCACACAGAGATTGACAGAAGGAGATGGGCACAGCCAGACACAGACAGACGGACAGACAGACCCCAGCATGAACTCATGCATGCAGACACGGACATGGACATGGACAGACAGCGATTAGATAAGTATTAGTCGCATGCATACGTGTGCGTATGTGCATGTGCTGGTCTACAACTATGCAGGAACTTACGTATAGAAGCAAGTATGTGCGGACGCATGTATAGAGTCTTCCTGTCTTTTCTCTCATGAAAACCAAGTTGCTCGGGCATAGTGTGCGGGCGCGAAGCTCTGCCCCACAGCGATCTGTGCTTGTGTCGGCGTTGGCCAGTGACTGGATCAGGGTTTTCGGCCCTTCTGAGCCACAGGGCTTACTCCTTCAAGTATCTTTCAGCAACGACTCTCACTTCCAGCTCATAAATACACCCTGACCTCTAAGCCCAAAACTTGCAAGACCACCGCTGATCACACGCGTGAGCAAGCCCTAGACCTAAGCCCAATTCTTTGTACTTATATAGGTATAGGGTTACAAGGTACTATAACCCTATTTCTAAGTGCCCCTGAACCTACAAGGAAGCCCGAAACCACCCCCAACCTCATTAGCCCAGTTGCGGATGCCGACGCAGCGTTTGCTTCCACCTATTTCCTTTGCAGTTCCAAGTCCAAGGTCGCCACAGCAACTCTTGCTGGGTTAGGGTTTGGGCGTTAGCTCTTAGTTTAACGTCCGTAACAGCAACCCAGGACGCCGTTCATTCAACATCTCCTCTCTCGCATCTATCCTCCACATTATGGGCCCTTCTTGTTATTCAAGCACTCCATAATTTATATACGGATCACCCAAAAGGACCATAGTAAAGCGAACTTCCCCATCTTACATGGGTGTCTTCTTATGGCGACCTTGGCCCAGGGGAGATCTTTGAAGTGAGCATGCTCCAAGAGAGCCCAATACCCCTGAGTCATAAACCATACCTTCTGTTTAACCTTTTGGGGTTTAGATCAGTTTATTGGTGAAAGACCTATATGCATGGCATGTTCCTTCATTTAGGGCATTGGGCTTCTGGCATAACATGCCGCATATGTTTTTGTCAAGTTTTTGAATCTTCATTTTTGATCATTGACGGCCAACCGCTTTCCAGACTGGACCTTGAACGTAGGGGCTAATTACTACCTAACGTTATACTGAGGTCCTAGGTTTCCAGTGTCACCCCATTGTTGGTTGCCTTTGCTGGGGGGTTTCTGCCTTTATGAAACCCTAAATCAGGTCCTAAACCCTAAACCCTAAACCCTAAACTTTGCGTGTCTCTTAAGCCCACCTTCGGTGAGATCACCCCATTCTCACCCTCAAGCTAGGCCCCCATGAGTTCATGCACGTATTCTAGAGCTTAGGGTTTAGGGTTTCGGGTCCTTTAGGTTTAGGGTTAGGTCCTGAACCTTGAGCCCCAAACCCTAAACCCGATAAACCCTAAGCCCTAGTTTTGATGCGCCACATCTAGCAGTCTGGGAAGTCGAGACGCTCCGTTTTTGATGGGGATCCAACTCAACCAACAGGTTTGTACTGGAACATCACAACTTTCCCAGTGGGTCGGAAGCACATCCTAAGGCTCCAAATGGCCCAAAGTACTACTACACAGTGGCAGGCGTTAGATAACTAGGTAGACCCCAAAGAGGGTATGATTTGCACGTCATGCTTGTGAAGAAACCCTGAGAATCACAGGACTTCGGCTGGAAAGGGTTTAGGGTTTAGGGCTTAATTAGGGTTTAAGTTTAGGGTTTAGGGTCTACGGTTTAGGGCTTAGGGTTCAGGGTGGGGGTCTTGGAGAGAAGCTGTGGTATTGTGGGCGCCGATGGCTAAGGATCCAGGCTTTAGGCTTGCTGGTCTGGGGACCCTAAACCCTAAACCCTAAACCCTAAACCCTAAACCCTAAACCCTAAACCCTAAACCCTATGTAGGTGTCTTTTTAAGGAGGAGTCTGGGACCCTCCTTGGGGTTTTCCTGGGGAGAAGAAGGCAAATTTGATCCAGACTCTGCAACGGCAAGCGTGGTTTCAAAAGGCTCGGAGCGCAGCTGGCAGCTAAACCCGGGAACCTGAACCCTAAACCCTAAACCCTAAACCCTAAACCCTAAACCCTAAAGCCTAAAGCCTAAACCCTAAACCCTAAAGCCTAAACCCTAAACCCTGAACTTGAACCCTAAGTACAGCCAGGATCAGCCAGGCACAATAAAAGCCCTAAGCTCCAAAGCCCGTTAAGCCCTAAAACCCTTAAACGCCTGGCCCATGGTTCCTGTCTTCGGGGGCTTGTACGACTAGGGTTTGGGCCTTGTATTACGAGAGTGAGATGGCAAGAAAGATAAACATGCCCAAACAAGGACCTATAACTAAGGGGTTAGGCATAATAATGGTTCGATACGCATACGATCGGATTGAGTTGAAGTTAAGGCGCCTTTCCTCTAGAGGGGGGGGGGGGGGGCGTCCACTAAGCTGAAGCCTCCCAACGGTCCTCAGCTGCTGTGCATCTCTAGAATTACCGCAGAACTGTGCTGCAGGATTCAGTCTTTGCATTTTGTTGTGCCTCTAAAATCCCTTAACCCTGCTGCAAGAGCTAAGCCCTAAACCCTAAACCCTAAACCGAAACCCTAAACCCTAAACCCTGAACCCTGAACCCTAACCCAGGAAAAGTTAATGCTTCCTGATCCCACTTTCCCTGCACGCAGACCCCAGGCTCAGTCCCACGTTAGCAGTCTACAGCTTATAACACCACGAATGAAGGGGTACTGATAATCTTCCTAATATGGTTTAGGGTTTAGGGTTTAGGGTTTAGGGTTTAGGGTCCCTCTATAGGTATACGATAAGACCCCCCAAGGCCCCTGTTGTAATTCCTATGCCATTCTTGGCGTGTCGTTGTTCTGATGACTAGGACGGCGGTGAGTTTATCTCTTCGGAATTCGGGTTCAGGGTGCAAGGTTTAGGGTGGTTTAGAGTTGTTTAGGGTTTAGGGTAATCGGGCAAGTGTAGGGCTTAGAGGCAAACATCCAAGACAGGGCTCTCGCGATGCTTGTCGCCCTACACGTTTCAACAACCTGCCGTGTAAAGATGCGCAAAGCCGTAGCATGGACTGATTCAACCCGGCACCCTCAGCCCCTGAATTCACATCTCAACGGAAACGCCATCTCCCAGCCAACACGGATGAGGTGAGGCTGCCCGCGCAGCAGATGCCGAAGACTTCATTCACGCCCTGCCTATGGGTCCGTAGCTTAGGAACCTCCAAACGCAACGCTTTATTACAGATCATGGTTCTAGATCATTCTCAATTTGTTCCGTAACCTCCGGACGTAACCTACGGCTATCCCTAAACCCTAAACCCTAAACCCTAAACCAGGGGGCCCCTCTTTGCTTTGAAGAAGAGAGATCTTGGGTCGGCAGGCGCTAGGTGGAGAGATTATTTTCAGGGCCGCCTGGACCAACACGAGGGTCTGTGCCCTAAATCCTGTAGACCCCAAACCCTAAACCCCAAACCCCAAACCCTAAACCCTCAGCCCTAAACCCTAAACACTAAACCCTAAGCCAGACTAGGACAACGAGTCGGCGAGTTGGGACTCCTAGCCCAACATCTTGCTTTTCAGCCCTAAAGCCCTACCAAACCCGATTTTCCCTAAACCCCAAATCCCTACTTGCATGTGGCATCCGGGTCCAATTGTTGGGCGCTAGAGTTCACTTCAATCCCTTCCAGGATGGGCTATTGGGCCTTAAAGTCCCCATAATGAAGCCTGTAAAGGGCCTTTTAAGGGATGATAGGGTATAATAGCCCATCCTGGTTGACACCCTCTTTAGCACGCTGGCGCCCCCCGCTCCCGTGTCAACTGCATCACCAGACGAGCGCAGCGTGCAACCCTGTAAGCCCTGAAATCCCTACCTTGGGAAGCAAACGCTATCGCCCCCAAAATCCCATAAGAAGCCCGATGAACCCTGCAATCACGCTAAGCCCTGTAAGCCTGAAACCCTCCACCCCACAAGCGCCCCTACTAGTCACAAAGCTCACCTACCCCCCCCCCACTACTAGCCCCGTGGTACACAGAGAACTTGTCTTATCCAAGTGTGTGACCTAAGTTGGGCTAAGTATTTTAATGTAAACCCAGACACGCAACAAAGAAGTCCTGCACTTAGCTGCAAATGGTATGGCAACGGACCCTACCCTGCACTTGACCTGAATCCCAAACAGGGTTACCAGTGGGTTGTAAGTACAGTCATAATTGGGCTACTAAGAACCATGCCTAAACCCTAAACCCTAAACCCTAAACCCGAAACCCTAAACCCCAAACCCTAAACCTCCAAACAAGGCTACAACACCATGGTCGGCGATGTTCGACTGTCTGGAGGGCAGCGACAGCGGATAGCCCTCGCGCGCGCACTCGTGCCCCAGGGTTGTTTTAGATCTGGGCTTGGTGTCGGGTGAGAAGTTTCAGGGGTCAGGGGGCCTACAAGAGGGTTCAGGGAGGGTTTTAGACCGAAAGAATCTCTCATCCCTCTTGGCGATTTTCTGGGAAAACAAAGCATATGAATATGTGCATATGGGTTGCGTTCAAAATTCGCGTGTTTGCTCAGTTACTTTAATTTACATTAATTGGTTTGGCCGGTCTATTTTCATGTCTTTGCTCTAAAGCGGCACCGAGGGGGATCCGCTAAAACCCCAGTGTGGCGCTAGGAAAACGCTAGGTTCGCGCTAGGTAAAACCAACAAACATTATTTCAAATTTCGCTTGTCACCACTAAGTGAACCCAACAGAGATTGATTGAGAAGGCCCAGCCAGGCGCACCACCCGAAATATGCGTACAACATCCAGGGTGGTGTAATATCCCCGCGCCTCTTCGTTATGAACTGACGGGGCCGCTGTTGCCAGGATAGAGGTTCTTCTAGGAAAAACGATGACAAGAAAGAAACGATATTCTTGTCATCATACTTGGTACATTTGCTGCTCCTAGCTTGTTTTCGTCGTTCATCACGTCGTAGTATCAGATCTTGGAAATCCGGCACAGTGTTTTGCGCCAGCGCCGTGCTAGCACGGCGCTAGCAAAATGTCAACGCAACCTCCCCCGGCAGACCATGGCCCATTCCTCCTCTAGCAGACCACAAAGGAACACCATCGAACCGAGAGTGCTATGCTTGCTGGAGCTCGAGCCGCGCCAGTGGCGACAGCGGAGAAACCTTCGCTCGTGCCAGAACTCCAGCAGTAGCAGTATGTAGCAGTAACACTAGCAGTTCTTGTGACGACTCGTCCGACAGCAGCGCCTGAAAAATGGTCCCCGCTAGCACCCTTTCTAGGAAATCATGCTTGGATCCTTCAAATGTCGCGTTTGCTACTCCATCTCAATCAGCTTCTTTTTCCTTCAGGACATAAGGCGGGCACCGAGGGAGTTCCGATGTAACGTCAATTTCGGGAACAAGCATTTTGACAACAACCCATATATATATATATATATGTATGTGTGTATCCGCATGCAGGTCACCCTGGACCCAACAACCCTAGCCCCAACCCCTACCCACACAAACCTTGTGCCTCAAAGCGTTGGATAGACATATACCCCAATATTTCGGATTCCCAGAGGGTCCAAGTATACAGTGAATTCGCGTACTCGGCCGATTCCTTGATAATTAAGGAATTCCGAATAACATGCTTGATGCCGTGCTCAGGCAATTTTGTTCAAGGGGCTGGCCACATACTCATATAAACTATCGTTTGTTGGAAGCACATCATCTTTCTGCACGTCGACACAACCGCTGTTACTCTACATGAGCTACAACCCCTTATTCAATTTTGAAGCGAGTTTCCAAATATCATTCACGAGGGACCCTGTGCATTGTGAACCATGGGCTTCCTATGGGAAGCTGCACAAGCACAGCTGCAAATGCACTTTCGTGCTGCGTACGTGTGGCTAATTTTCGTATCGCAGTGTTGTTTGTGTGAAATCGCATCCGACAGAGTTTTATGTTATTGGGGTTACAGCCTCAGCGGTTTCGGTTTAGCAACGCTCAGTGTAGATGAACGACGATCAGGCTTAGATGCATAAAAGACTGCCTATAATGCTGGGTGTTAGCGCTATGAGCAAGTGCTAAGGTTTGGTGAAAAGTCATGAAAATACTCTGGCAATTCTATGTTTAGGTTTTTCAGAGACGCAATATGATTGATTATAACTTATTATAGTTGTTATTGTGTATTACAAAACACAGGGAAATGCTCCATAATGTCATAGAATGCAAAATATTAATTAGAATGTGTACGAAAATGCAGGGAAATGCTAGGGTTCGGTGCGATAATGACCTCAACAAATAAGAAACTGCGGAGGACATGCAGGTTTTGGCTCGGAAACCAATGAAACAATTGCTTTTAACAGAAAATCAGGGAGATTTTAGAGGAAATGCAGGTTATTAGAGGAAATGCAGGTTATTAGGGAGAAAACCAGGGTTTTAGCTAGAAAACAAGGGCGCGTTCAAGGAAAATATATCAGTTTTCCAAAGAAATGACGAGAAAATCTCGCGTTACTTTCGCGTTACTTTGCGTGACTTTGGGGCCCGGTGCCGTGCATAGGAGATTCTGGGCATTACTTTTGCGTTACTTTGCGTTAGTTTGGTGGGGCTGCCTTGTTGGCCAAGTTTTCTATGCAGGTGCCAACGCGGGTGTCTGGTGCGGGGCCCTTCTACCTGTGCAGCCATGGTTGCTGAAGAGGGGCAGGCATCAAAGGCCCCTCAATTTCAAGAATGCATAATTTTACAGCCACTTAGGCTATATGGTCTGCTCCTGGAGATCTAAAATCTGGAAGGAAATGCAGGATGTGCAGAAACGAATGCCGGCAAAGGGCAGCCAGATTACCCGTGCAGGCTGCCACTTATGTGTTCTTGTACGGTGTAAATAGCTAGGATATCTATATTTGAAAATAAATAAATAAATCTATGAGAGATAGACAGAAGAACAATCTCGCACATTAATTGTCTTTAGCACATTAACTACAGGCCCCTTGCATCCTGACGGCACGAAGCCAGAGGAGACACTTTTCCCAAAGCGCCTGAAACCCCACGAGCCTGGACCGGCAACCCAACCTCCAGCATCCAATGATGCCTACCCTGATTTAAGTTTTGCACGGCTGCAGCAGAAAGGCCTTCCCCCAGTGGCTTTTGGCCCCCTGGAAACCCAAGCCGATACATTTAGGACACTACGCTGTATACGTGGTATACATATATATATATATATATATACTATAGGCTATATACGTACTATGCACGTACACTATAACTTTTAATAGAGGGCTCCGGCTCAACATCTGGTGTACTTGTACTGATGGGTGACACGTTAAACCTTTAAAACTTATACATAGTTGTGCCAGGGGCGCTTATCGAGCCGATCGAGCCGATCCATCCAGGGTTGCCCTAGGATTATCATAATTCTGGTAATTTTGGTACCAAGACTCGGTTTCCTCCGCAACCCTTCATGTCCTTAACATTCCCAAGACACACCAATTCCTCAATATTTAAGGACTCGGGGCGAACATTGTCTATGTATGTACTCGGGCCCCGAGTCCTCAAATATTGACAACATGGACCCTCTGGGAGTGGCTTGCATCTTTTAAGTGTACAAGCTACTAAGCCCGACACCCGAAAAGCCCCTGGACCACCGACACCTTAACAGTTCATCGATACCCGTCCATATGACCATAGGTGCATATACATATATACATACATACATACATACATACATACATATGTACAAGTATATATTTCTATATACATGTATATATATATATGTGTACACACACACGTATATATATATATATATGTATATGCACACACATATATATTTATATACATACATACATACATACATATATATATATACATATACACATGTATATGCATATGTATATGTACATGTATATATATATATATATGTACACACATGATTTGCTCACATGCGTATAGAAACTGTTATGTTTATATGTGTATCTCTCAAAATAGGTGCACCCGTACCATACCAAGCCCTACTTATCCTCGGAACCCCCAAAGAGGGGTTCCCTCTTTCTGGAGACCCACATGCATACATTTAGGGTTTAGGGTTTAGGGTTTAGGGTTTAGGGTTTAGGGTACGGGGGGACAACCAAGGAAGGAAATCAACTCCCCTAATCGCCCTGAACTTATATTTCCCAGATCGAACCAAGAAACAACCAAGAACACGGATAAGAGCAACAAGGAAGGGGCACCCTTACACCAGTAGAGGGGCACTAACCCAACCCTCACTCCCAAACACGGACTTTTTTCTTTGGACGGGCTGGCCATCCTTGAGCCAAACATAGTTTACGGGTTCATTAACCCTTTCAACTTCCAACACTAACTCCTTTCTACAATACCAATTGCAGCTCCGCACTCCCCCTGTCCTAGGATTTCCTAGGACACATTGGAGATGCAGGTCTTTTGGCCAAAAACTGCCATTAAGGCAGCAGCCAGCTGCTTGAAATGCAAGTTGTGGTTTAACGTCTTCCAGGACGGAATTATAGCACATTGGCTAACCTACTACCCATAGAGAATCTTTTTTCACCATGATCCTCTCATCACTGAAGACTCCTTGGCCTTCTTCACCACAAACCGTGGTCTTCGCTACGCGAAAAGCTACTGACTTCTACTATCAGGGATTTCCATACCCTTAATAGTAACCACCACATTGTCAGCACATTGGCTGTTCCAGCGCACCCGTCTCCAGAAAGAGAAAAACTATCCCTTCATCCATACCATCCAATCACTTCTTTTTCCGATTGTTGGCAATCTTGAGGTGAAGTTGCAGCAGAATATACTCCAGGTCCGAAACTGTAAGAACAGGATCCTGTACGCCCCTTTGAATTGAGGATACCAATCCTTCCCTCTTTGCGTCCTCAATCGCCTGGCAAGATTGACCCAGCTCTTCATTCGCAGTGGCAGACCCTGGTGCATCCGCATCAGATGGACGATCCTTTTCTTCAGGATCTTGAACCATTACCACCTCTTCTTTTTTGGGACTCTGACTTTTCTCCCTCTTCTTTGTCTTTCCACCGACATTTGACTTTGTGCGCGTCTTCGAGGATTTTTCCACTGCAGAAGCCACCACATTGGATGTTGATCCACCCTTCTCAATGATCGTCGGCATCTTCTTCGGCTTTGGAACCATGAGAGTGTAAGGATCTTCAATAGCTGCAGCTTTCCTCTTCTTTTTTACCTTTTTCTTCTCTTCTTCAACGGCAACCTCCGTCTCCGAAGTCTCAACCACTCCTGTTTCGGCAGGAATATCCTTGCTGGACTCCCTTTCTAGGGATCTCTTTTTACCTCTTTTGGGATCCTTTTCCTCTCCCAAATTGGCTCGCTCATACCATATCCTCAGGTCATTGACCCATTCTT